GAACCAACAACTGAAGAAATTCAGACTACAACAGTTGTCGGTACTGAGGAACCAACAACTGAACAAATTCAGACTACATCAGTTGTCAGTACTGAGGAACCAACAACTGAAGAAATTCAGACTACAACATTTGTCGGTACTGAGGAACCAACAACTGAACAAATTCAGACTACATCAGTTGTCAGTACTGAGGAACCAACAACTGAAGAAATTCAGACTTCAACAGTTGTCGGTACTGAGGAACCAACAGCTGAAGAAATTCAGACTACAACAGTTGTCAGTACTGAGGAACCAACAACTGAAGAAATTCAGACAATAACAGTCGATTGTACTGAAGAAGCAACGACTGAAGAAATTCAAACTACATCAGTTGTCAGTACTGAGGAACCAACAACTGAAAAAATTCAGACTTCAACAGTTGTCGGTACTGAGGAACCAACAACTGAAGAAACTCAGACAATAACAGTCGATTGTACTGAAGAAGCAACGACTGAACAAATTCAGACTACATCAGTTGTCAATACTGAGGAACCAACAACGAAAGAAATTCAGATCCCAATAGTTGTCAGTACTGAGGAAACAACAACTGAAGAAATTCAGACTTCAACAGTTGTCGGTACTGAGGAACCAACAACTAAAGAAATTCAGACTACAACAGTAGTCGGTACCGAGAAACCAACAACTGGAGAAACTCAGACACCAGCGGTTGATTATACCGACAAACCAACAACTGAAGAAACTCAAACACCAACAGATATCGGTACTGAGGTGCCAACAACTGAAGAAATTCAGACTTCAACAGTTGTCGGTACTGAGGAACCAACAACTAAAAAAATTCAGACTACAACAGTTGTCAGTACTGAGGAACTAACAACTGAAGAAACTCAGACAATAACAGTCGATTGTACTGAAGAAGCAACGACTGAACAAATTCAGACTACATCAGTTGTTAATACTGAGGAACCAACAACGAAAGAAATTCAGATCCCAATAGTTGTCAGTACTGAGGAAACAACAACTGAAGAAATTCAGATTTCAACAGTTGTCGGTACTGAGGAACCAACAACTAAAGAAATTCAGACTACAACAGTAGTCGGTACCGAGAAACCAACAACTGGAGAAACTCAGACACCAGCGGTTGATTATACCGACAAACCAACAACTGAAGAAACTCAAACACCAACAGATATCGGTACTGAGGTGCCAACAACTGAAGAAATTCAGACTTCAACAGTTGTCGGTACTGAGGAACCAACAACTAAAAAAATTCAGACTACAACAGTTGTCAGTACTGAGGAACTAACAACTGAAGAAACTCAGACAATAACAGTCGATTGTACTGAAGAAGCAACGACTGAACAAATTCAGACTACATCAGTTGTTAATACTGAGGAACCAACAACGAAAGAAATTCAGATCCCAATAGTTGTCAGTACTGAGGAAACAACAACTGAAGAAATTCAGATTTCAACAGTTGTCGGTACTGAGGAACCAACAACTAAAGAAATTCAGACTACAACAGTAGTCGGTACCGAGAAACCAACAACTGGAGAAACTCAGACACCAGCGGTTGATTATACCGACAAACCAACAACTGAAGAAACTCAAACACCAACAGATATCGGTACTGAGGTGCCAACAACTGAAGAAACTCTGACACCAACAGTTATCGGTACCGAGGAACCAACAAATGCAGAAACTCAAATACCCGTGGTTGATTGTACTGAGGTACCAACAACTGAAGAAACTCAGACACCAACATCAATATCTGACGGTACTGACGTACCAACAACTGCAGAAACTCAGACACCAACAGTTGACGGTACTGAGGAACCAACAACTGTAGAACCTCAGACACCAGCGGTTGATTGTACTGAAGAACCAACAACTGAAGAAACTCAGACTACAATAGTTGTCAGTACTAAGGAATCAATACCTGAAGAAGTTCAGATCTTAACAATTATCAGTACTAAGGAACCAACAACTGAAGAAACTCAGACACCAACAGCTGATGCTACTGAGGAACCAACAACTGAAGAAACTCAGACACCAGTGGTTGATCGTACTGAGGTACCTACAACTGAAGAAACTCAGACACCTACAGTTGTCGGTACCGAGGAACCAACAACTGAAGAAATTCAGATTCCAACAGTTGTCAGTACCGAGGAATCAGCAACTGTAGAAATTCAAACACCAAGAATTGACAGCAAACCAACAACTGAAGAAACTCAAACACCAATAGTTGACGGTACTGAGGAACCAACAACTCAAGAAAGTCAGACACCAGATGTTGATTGTTCTGAGCAACCGACAACTGCAGAAACTAAGACACCAACAGGTGGTGGTACTGAGGAACCATCAACTAAAGAACCTCAAACACCAACAGTTAACGGCACTGAGAAACCAACAACTGAAGAAACTCAAACACCAACAACTGCAGAAACTCAGACAATAGTTGCTGATTGTACTGAAGAACCAACAAACGAAGAAACGCAGGCACCAGATCTTGGTGGTACTGAGCTACCAACAACTGAAGCAACTCAGACACCAACATCTGATTGTAGTGAAAAATCCCAGACACTAGATGTTGATGATACTAAGGAAGCAACAAGTGAAGATGAAGAACCTCAGTCATCAGCCGCTGACGATGAAGAGTTCATATACTCTCAAGAAATTGAGTTACCACCGTGTGGTTGTACTGTGGAAACAGTACCTGAAGAAAGTCAAGCACCGGTGACTGAAGGTTTTTCTCTTTTTTTACGTATAATGGACATTTTATAATTATTTTTGATATACTTTTGAACAGACGTACATTTTGACATAGAATGTAATGATAATATTGACATTTTATTGGTTTGTATGATAATGATGCGACAAAGTTTTGATTTAATCCAAACACATTTCTTTCTTATAATAATTTGTATGTCAATTGACAAAATCATAGCACACACAGCACAATACACAAGATCTGAAAAATTAGGTAGTGCACCTAATTTTTAAGATCTTGTGTAGGTATTTATTATTGTATGATTATCACCGATGTTGACGAATAAATTATTATTATTATTTGATTTGTAGGTACTGAGGAACTAACAACTGAAGAAACTCAGACATCAACAGTTGACGGTACTGAGGAACCAACAAATACAGAAACTCAGACACCGGATGTTAATGATACTGAGGAACCAACGACTGAAGCAACTCAGACGCCAGATGTAGACAGTACTGTGGAACCAACCACTGAATACACTCAGACACCAGCGGTTGACGGTACTGAGGAACCAATAACAGAAAAAACTCAGACTGCAGCGGTTGATGATACTGAAGAACCAATAACTGAAGAAACTCAGACAACAACGGTTGATGATACTGAGGAACCAATAACTCAAAAAGATCAAAAACAAATCCAACCTACTAAAAAACCAAAGTCAAAGAATTGCACAAATAAGAAGAAGAAAAAGAAGAAGAAGAATAAAAAAAGGAAGAAGAAAAAGAACAAGAAGAAAGGGGATTGTTGCGATACATTATTAGATTTACCTAAACTGTATAAATTATTGTTAAAACTTGTTTCCAAGCCTTGCAAGGATAACAAGCGACCTCATAAATCAAAACATAAGCTCAAAGAGCATGGAGCACACCAACCACATCATTTTCATATTCATCATCATTTTTACTTTGAAAACGCTCCTGAATATTTTCGACATCATCCAGCGCTCTCTTCTGAAGGCAAGTCTGTATCAGCCGACGATAAGTAATAAGGTACGGTACGGTATACGGTATAGTTATGGCAAAGGCATACGACTGAATGAAGCTAGTGATACTTCAAGAAGACACCATGTTATATGCACGAAACAACATGAGCAGGAACATACCTGAATACTAATAGAAGAAACAAACCTGAGTGGAAACGTAATTTCGATGACATAATTATTATATTTAAAATATTCTAATAATGTCATTGTCACGTTGTGTATATACTGAAAACAATAAATAAATTACTTTTAAAAAATAAAATATTAAAATATAAATCTTTGTATACTTGTTACATTTTTATAGAACAGGGTTAATTGAAACCAAAATTTTATACACGTCTGGTAGTTTTTTTTAAACATTACACACAAAACTTGATTACTGAATTAATTGTAATATCGTTTGCCATCACAATTTAAACTGAACTGTGACGTAGCAACCTCCCACTCCTAAACTTAAATTAGTTTTATCTAAGTTTTTTTTCCTCTACGGAAAAATAAAAAAAAATATGAGGTATAATAATTTCGCATCGTCCAGCTGACGGTCCAAATAAATTCTTAATTGCAGGCTAACAAAATCATTTTAATCTTGAGATTTATAGCAATCAGATGTCATTAGATGTCTTTTCTTCATTCATTCATCATTCATCATTCATCAACAGCTTATAAATGCCTACTGCTGAGCAAAGCCTCTTCTCACACGGAGAAAGATCAAAAAATCACCACGCTTGCAAATATGGTGGGAACACTTTGGATTCGTCGAGAGATATTGTGGTAAATTTGTTCTTTTTACTAATAGGGAATATCATCCAATGTCTTGTTCCACCTTGGCTGAGGCAAGAGGGAGTGTCAGACTCTTACTGACAAAAAACCACCCTGCTCCTACTCCTGCTTTTCAAGCCGGAGATCCAGTAACAGTAACCCGTTAAGGGCCTCTCCGCGTAGCGATATTACATCGCGAGGTTTTTGTTCTGGCGTATCTATCTATACTAATATTATAAAGAGGAAAGATTTATACCTATTTTTGTATGTTTGTGTGTTTGTAATGGATAGACTCAAAAAGTACTGGGCTGATTTAAAAAACTCTTTCACCAATAGAATGCTACATTCTTCCAATTTAACATAGGCTAAATTTCTTTTTGAAAAAAATTAGGGATCCTTGGTAAAACAATGTAACCGAAGGTGTAGAAAAATGAGTCTTAAAATGTCTTTCGTCGAATACGCTGCCGAAACCATTAGCGATATGCGAATGTCTACAAAAAAACTCCGTGGTATCAAATGTCCAACTATTGTAGTTATGTCACTACAACAATCCAAATTTCCATAAATAAATAATTGTCTACCCCGTGCGAAGCCGGGACGGGCTGCTAGTGTATTATATTCCGTAATCGAAATTACACCTAGTACGTACTGCGAATTAAATTTAGAACGATTTTTGTCAGTTGTATGTAATTCAGTTTTCGGCTGAGGCGTACGTCTGAAATGGACCACCGAACTAAAATTTTAATTTGTCTATTATACTAAGGCGGCGGTATAATAGATATAACTCTGTATAACTATAACTGTGGTACTTGTACCAATGTGACGTTTCCCGAGTTATGTGTACTTTCTTAGATATTTACACGCCACTGACAAACGGTGGAGGAAAACATCGTGAGGAAACCTGGGCTTACTATTTCTAATTTTAAGTTTGAACTCACCAACCCGCATTTAGCAAGAGTCGTGGTGATTAACCCGTCGTATGTCTAAACGTGGATCCACGTGAGACTTAATGTATTTTCTATTATGTCTCACATCCGTGTGAGAAGAGGCTTTCCTCAGCAGTGGGCATTTATAGGCTGTTGATACCTAATTATGTTATTAGAGGAATAGGTGCCTATAGTAAAGGCGTAGATAAAATGTACATGTATGTATAGATAAAGATACATAGATGAGCCTAGCGCACTCGCTTCTCGTTTCGTTCCCAAACGTCCATTATGCCGAGGCACATAGCACAAGTTTCTCTGCATACTGAATGAGCAAAATCTCTGCTATTATCCAATATTGAACAAACTTGCATTTCAACACCGAGTGCTTTCAGTTTTAATCTTTGTTGAAACAAAAACAAATAGAATAATCAGGCGACGATTTTCGTTTCGATATTTCTAAAGAAGTCGGATGCATTTCTTGAAACGTTTGCATTTTAAAGTAAACTTTATTATATGAATATTTAAGACCTTTTTTATTAAAATACGTTTCCTTAGTGTTTCACGAACACATTTTTACAAAGGCAAACTCACTAATAAGGTAAGGTTTCACCCAATTCTAAGAAATCTATGTCGATGTATTTAAAACTAGCAACTTCCACGCGGTTTCGCGCGTTCTACTCGGCTTCTATTAATAGTAGCGAGATGTTTTATAGCTTATAACCTTCCTTGGTAACTGGATTACTGAACACAAAAAGAATTTTTCAAATCGGACCATTAGTTCCTGATATTGGCGCGTACAAACAAACAATCCAACTTTTCAGCTTTATATGTATAATAAATAATAGTATAAGATATATCTCGTTAAATGGAAATAAGTAAAGTAGATACTAGAAAGTCATCAACAAGAAGATTTAGGGATCTATTAAAAATGAGGAAATGGATTCGGTGAAAAATATTTGTGATTTTCCTGCTGACGATTGGATTTAAAACGCTTTCATTTATTAAATTGAACAGTATTTGTACGCCTGTGCAAAGGAGTGAATACTGATTGAAACCCTTCTGATATTTATTCTGCATCTAAAATTGTTCAATTTTATTTAAATTTAAATCAAGCGGTTTAAGGGTAGTGTAAAAGAAATTCTAATAAATTTTAACGTTTTATATTGAAGTAATATAAAACTGAGACAAATTTTCTTTGACTGCCTCGTTGGCAGAGTGGTCGCAAGTGCGACTGCCGGGCAAGGGGTCTCGGATTCGATTCCCGGGTTGGGAAAAGTATTACTGGGTTTTAAAAAAATTCTTAGTAGTCACACGTACGTACACGTAGCACGGAGTCTGGAAATGTGTCCGGTATATAGCAATAGGCTCACCCCCTATTACATGGGACTCATAACATAAATAGTGAAAAATGGGTGTTACTTCTGTGTGCACCTCTGCCTACCCCTTCGGGGATAAAAGGCGTGATGTTATGTTATGTACAAATTTTCCTTGATTAAAAGTCGGTATGTAGTAAATAAGACATGCACTCCACAATTTGTTAACATTAAGTTTAATACCATTTACAAAATTGTAAGTAACCGTCATAAGAACAAAAGAGAACGCCAAATCATTTTTATTTGATTTGTAACTCTATTGTTTTATTATACAGTCAAAAGTTGAGATACAGTAAGTTTTTCGAATCGATAGGAATATAGATAGAAAGAAAAGATATGAAAAGAACTACATTTATTTTCAGCTGTAGTATTTAATTTTGAACGCAACGGCACCACCTATTAATGCTCCGATGCCCACTATTTTCAATAATTTCTTTAGTACCTGTAACAAAACAATAGTCTATAGAGCTGCTTGTTATCTAGGGTAAAGTGGAGGGTACTAGGCAGCGCGCAGGAGAGGTAATCAAGGTCAATTCCTGAGGTTGGATCCTTGAAAAAGTACAGCAAAATGACATTTAATAATGGCAGTGGCTAACGGCGGAATGCTATGAGGTGTCTGTAGATGTCTTGTATAGTGGGTACATCTACTTTCTAGTGTAGGGCCATACTAAAAAAAACAACTCAAAAATAAATTCTAAATAGTTCATACCCGGTCCTGCCATTCGCGGTTTTTGATGCATAGACTGTAAGGCATGGTGGAGAATGTGACAGAGTTGTACAGAGGCACCCAGAAGTTTGGTAGTAACCAGAATATAAAGTCGTCCATCGCCTTACGAAACTTGTATGAAGGACGCGTCACCAAATCTCTCATCTGGAAAGAATAACATTTCATGAAAAATAAATAATGTAAAATAAAATGGCTAGAAGTTAAGAAGCTGTACTTTATTCTCTTGAATGCCCAAAGATATGAACGCGTAAAAAGAAGATGGAATGTCTATTGCTAATTGCAAAGTTAAATACCGCCTCCGTCGATATCCAACCCAGCTATCGAACCCTTGTCGCAGTCTGAAACTTAGTCAGGAATCTCGAACAGTAGTCATTTTTCTCACCTCAATATAATTGTACATGGCCAAGTCACTGATAGCAAATGTATCTTCCCATCTGGTCTCAGAGAACTCCTTTAGGATCTCAGCAAGATTGTCATGGTGTTTCTGGAAGAGCTGATCTAACAACGTGCAGTCTTCAAAGCCAGCGTTCATGCCTTGACCGTAGAATGGTACTACAGCGTGTGCTGCGTCTCCGATAATAAGAGCCTTATCTTCTACGTGGTAAGGACGACACTGGAATTAAAAGAGACATAAAATTAAGATCTTTTTTCCACGAAGATCGACACACGTATGAAATGTAACATACTCTTTTAAACACTTGAAATGACAATAGACTCATTATTGTTATACATTAAACACCATTCCAGAGTATTATTAGAAACAACCTTTGCGTTTCTAAGAAACAAAACATCTCAAGCTTAAATTACCTTAACAGCAACCAACGGTGATGGTTTTACAGCAAAGAAGTCTTCAACTAGTTTCTTCTTACCAATTAATGGTATTGAGTCTGGGAAGTATTTCTCAAAGAAGGCCAAAAGCTTTTCCTCTGTGTCCAAATTCTTAAACTTATCGAACGGCATGAAGAGTGTGACGGTCCATGAGCAATCTTGATTCGGCAAAGCGATCATCATGAACTCGCCCCTAGGCCAAATGTGGAGGTAGTTAGCTGGCATCAGAAACTGTAAAAGACAATCCATAATTAACCACTACAATTTCCCACAAGGACACACATAAGGTAGCATTCTTAGTAATGCATTAACGATAAACACTCATCAAAATTCTCATCTATACAGTAAATAAATTGGAGTGTCTGTTTGAAATATTAAAATAACCACCTTTTTACTACACGCATATCAATAATAAAACATATATACAATACACATACCAAAATAATATTTATTAGAATTTTTATCTGTCTGTTTGTCTGTTTGTACTGGCTAATCTCTGGAATGGTTGGATCGATTTTGACGGGGCTTTTACTGGCAGGTGGCTAATGTACTAATGAGTCATAAAAAAGGATACATCCTAAAATTCATACACGAACAAAGTTGCGGGCAAGAGCTAG